AATTAAAAGATAAATTGTACAACTTTTAAAATTTTCTTGTAAATAATTTTTTATTTTGTGAAAGCTGAACCAAATAAGTCTGTGCTTCTGAGTTACCGTTTTTTTGGTACCTCTAATTTGTAGACTTGTAGTTTCAATACTAAAGGACATCTAATCTAATGGTGTAAGTAGGGATGGCAACGGGGGCGGGTTTGGGCGGGTGTACCCTCTCCTGCCCCCGCAATAGTTTAAAAACCCCACCCCCGTCCTTGCCTAAAATCGCAAAAAATGGAAAACTTTCCATCTCATTTCTGCCCCCAATTTAACATCTTTACCCCGGGTACCCGCCCCGCCCCGTTTAATTTTTTTATCAACTAAAATTATAGAATTATTGAAAAGATTTATAAAAAAAAAAATCGACAATAAATAATTTAACATTAAAAACATTTTAAATGGTCGTGCAAATTTTTAGATTTTGTTGCAAAACAAACTATCTTAATATATATACTAATGAAATAAGGGTACTAATGCAAAATATATATACTAATGAAATAACGGTAATTAAGTAATTTACCAATCTAAACGGGACAGGGCAGGGCGTCTTTCTCCCATTCCCGTACCGAACCCGTGCGGGTTTTCAATATATCAAATCATTTTCGTTCAATTAAGCTAAACGATTCCCTAAAATAGCCAAAAAGGGGACAGGAAGTGACAAATTGTCATCCCTAAGTGTAAGCCCTTTATTATCAGAAAGGAGGTGAGATGTTCGAGCCCTGCAGTCCATATATTTTTAGATTTCAAGATCTTCTTTTTTAACAAAATTTATAAAGCAAGACATTTGTATATATATTTTATTACTATTATTATTTTACATTAAAAAAAACATCTAAAATAGGCCATGTCATAATAAAGTAGATGAATGGAAATTTGGGGAAGAAGCTAGGATGCCCCATTTTGTAACGTAGGAATTAATAACGACCCATATGGATGAGGATTAGAATATGAAATTGAGATGACCACTTCTCTTGTTTTTTCATATGCTAGGAGACGTTATGATTGAAATTTTGATGCTCATGCTAAATTGTCTGTTTGTGCTTTCTATACTTGGTCTGAATTAGCTTGTCCCTATTTTGTCCCCCAAGTCCTCCATTAACCACATATTAGTATTCTACTGTACCGCTAGCCAATCACAAGAGCTTTATAGGAATTTGAAGCTATGTCATACCAAACATCATTAATATTCATAGTGCTACTAATATTTATTCTATTTTTGTTTGGGTAAACATTTAGTTGGATTTATATCATTGTCAGGCTTGGCAGCATCACTATTTTTGCCTATTTCATATGAACAGAAATACATTAATTTTCGATCCTTTTTTAATTGACAAAGTGCAAAAAATTATTATGAGATTTCACCAAGCGAACATAATACCTTGCTGAAGTTTAAAAGTAAGTAAATTAATCTCTATAGAGTGAACAAATTGCCTCTTTACATTTCATCCTTTTCGTCGGATGCCATTATGTATTTACAAAATTATCCTTTATAATAATTTTTTTTTTTAAATATAAAAGATAATAAATCTTAAATGCCCTCTAAAATAAAATGGTACATTATATGACAAGTGTGTAACTTCTCATTTGTGCCTCCTCATGGATTAGGTTAACCAGACTTTTTTGCTCTTGTTTTCACGTCACGTGTTCCACTTTTTTTCTCATTTGATTTTTTTTTTTTTTTTTTTTTTAATTTTTGGTTATTGTAACACTTCTCATCGCTTCTATTCATGTCTGGGTTCAGGAGAGAGCGAAAATAGTGAAAATCACGATCTTGGAGTTTCTGCGCGTGTGCGTGATTTTGGGTTTATCAACTTCGATTTCTTGTGTTTGTTTGGTGGGTTGTGTTGAAGACTGTACGAATTTAGGTATGTGTTGAAGATTGAACGAATTTGACTTGACAGAATTGTGAAGTACAACGTGCTCTAAGAAGCGCAAGTGTTCTTACTATAGCAAATCCTTCTTTTAGTTACAAAATGGTTAATTTGTGCAATATATTGATGTTATTTGTTTGGTAGAGTTACTTGATAGGAAGTTTGATTCAATTTCTAGGGTTTCTGATTTCTTTTATGGAATTTTTTTGGGTACCACGTCAGCACAATAATTGTTCTTTTGGCATGCATGCTCATTTTTTTGGGGAACAAACGAATCAAATATATATTTAAATGTTTAAATCGACTTATCTTGGAGTGCATGTGCAAATGGGAAGGAGAGCAAAAGTGGATTTGATTGGAACAAATGGATGCAAAAACCTTTTGTATGAAGAGGGGTATAACGATTATATTGGAGGTTACTTTAGGGTATTATACTCACTTGGTGAAACTTTAGGAGTTTTTTTTGCACTTTTGCCTTTTTAATTTTTCCTATCTTAATAACTTTATTCTATATTAGTGTCTTTCTATTTACTTTCCATGTATGTTAACATTTAGGATAAATTACACTGACTTCCCTTGTAGAATAATTGGAATCCCCTTTCTATTTATAAAAAATACCACCTACTTTCTCGTAATTCTGGTATGGATAACATTGACCTTCCCTGTCAAAAAAATTCATCAATATTATCTGTTGATGTCATACTTGAAATTTACCTAAGACCACTTAGAATGCTTGAAACAAAAGATATTTTACATGAAATAATACAATAAAAGTATAATGGGTATAATTATCCTTTAATGTCTTCGATAAATTGATGACAATAATAGGGGGATTTGTGTTATTTTTAAAATTATAAAAAATATCTTTGTTATTTAGACATTTTACAGAGGGAGGTCAGGGTAATTTATTCTAAATTTTATTATTTACGCATATACTGCATATGTTCATATCACTTAAATTTAGGTTCTTTTGATTTATCACTAACCATTATTCCTAATATTTTTCTTGCACATGAGGCATGATATCCTTTCTCTATAATAAAAGCAAAATTTTAGATTAATTCAACCAATTTTAATTCGCTGTTCTCATTGATGAATAGAATTGAAATTAATGCCTTCATTAATTAGATATTAATATATATATTTTTATGGACAAAACTTTCCTTATCTCTTTTATTTTTATTTTTATTTTTAAAATATATGTATTGGCTCCCCAACACATTAAAGAACTTACCTTCTAAATTCTTGTCAACGTCGTTGTACCAACGGAGCCTTTTATTTGTCTTTCTTCCCACTCTTCCCTCCATTCACACATGGGTGTGTTTATATATATATATATATAAACTGGCATTAGGATTTAGAAAGGAAAAAAGAAAAAGAAAGTAAACATACGGATCTAACAAGCAAAAAAGAAAAAGAAAAAGAAAAAGAAAAAGAAACGAAGGGATAGTAATGCTTTGTATATATATATATATATTATATAGTGGCATACCCATCAAACAAGGTGAGGGAAAAAAATGAAAGAAAGTATACTAATGATTTACCGGATCAAGCTTAGACTTGAGTTGAGACTTCTATTTCCCAAGTTGATATCAAATTGATCCACGTGGCTAGTAAGAGAAAAGCTATAATAATTTGCATCTTATTACAATATTTCTTCAAATATGCATCTTATTATAATAATAAGATGCATCTTATAATATGCATCTTTTTCCTTTTGCCAATTTTGAGAGATGAATCGAACAGTCAAAAATTCGCATCAAAATTTTTGTTGGGGGGTAAAAAATTCCCTTTAATTAAAATTTGGTGAAAGTGCCAAAAAAAAAAAAAAAAAATCCCTCTTGTAATTTAAAAAGTGTATCAATAACATTTTTTATGTTTAAATTCCACCGGTATGGTATGAAAAGTGAGCAATTAAGAATTTATTGTCATTTAAATAAAATAAGATATACAAAAGTACAAAAATGCCCCTCAAGATTCTCTTTACAAAAACAATAAAGATGAGTAGAAGTTAAAATTGCTTAAAAGAACTTGCACAAAATTGAGAATAAAATCAAATAAAATATAATGTAAAAAAACTAATAATAATAATAATAAATATAATGTAATATATATAGATATCTTTAAATTAAAAAATAATTTTTATTATTATATTTATCTAAAAAATCAAATGAAATTTAATGTAATATATATTACATAAAGTCAAATGCCAAATCATATTCCTATAAATAATTACTGTACTTTCTTTGAAGAGCCTTTTTTTTATCACATGATCCGCACACGTCATTTTTCGGTGTCAGAATCCCTTATTTGCTCATTTTTCATACTACAAAAATGTAATTTAAACATACTTTTCAGGGTTTATTTTCCACTTCAACCATTAAATTTTACATTGTGTTTCTTTGACAAAATTTGAAGAAAACTTATGTTTCCTCTTTCATTTGATTTATGCGTGGCAAGCCTATTTTAACACTAATAATGTGATAATAGTCATGAGTCTCATGGCTTGCGCATGATTTTTCATACTTAAAATAAGTTAATTTCACCACCGAAATAATGTAACTTGGTGGTACTTTCATATTTTTTCAAAGTAGAAGGTGATTCATCACGTAAGTGTGTTTCCTTACTAAAGTAAGAAAACAACAAAACTCAACATGATAACTATCATTTTCCATCCGTTCCAAAATTATTGAGCATTTTAGAGATCTAATTTTTTTATGGTTATTTTCAAAGTTATTCTTATTAAAAAAAAGACAAAAGAATGCTCTTCGTAATTAGTTCACAAATTAATATCGAAAGAATAATTTATGTATATTATGCAAAAATATATTTATTTTTTAAATGAAACATATATTTTGTGACATCTAAAAATAGAAACATAGACAAAAATAGAACGGAAAACAATTCCTATAATAACTAATTCCTCTTAAAACCGCTTGATGGAGGATTTGTAAATTTTTTTTTTCAATTTGTGTCTAAATGGCAATATTGTTATTTGAGGAAGAAGTAGAGTCAAATTTGAAAACAGAAATCGAAGTTTGAAGAAGGCCCACGCGTTATGTTCCTCGATACGGACAACCTTAACGTAATTATCAATTCTCCTTTTCATATTTTTTTTCTCTCTCTAAAGTGGTGAGAATATTTTATTGTTAGAGCACATGTTCTTCATCTGATCCATCTATATACTAAGTAGAAGAATAATAATATACACGTATATATAAAGTTCTGGGAAATTTCCACATATTTTCTAGTACTAATTTCTTTCTATGTTTAGTCGGTGATTTTTGGAAAATATTTGAATTGTATCCAAAATTACCAATACCCAGAAGCAGAGGCAGTGAAGAAACAGCTATGGTAGAGACCGCAAACCACCACCACCAGCCACCGCCAAGTCGCGCGGTTCCGTCACTACCTCTTGGAGCCGCCAAAGGCCCTATTTTTCCTCCGAACGAGCAACTCCTTCAACTCCACTACTGCATCCACTCCAACCCTTCATGGCGTCAGTTCTCTCTCTCTCTTCCTGTTATTCATATAATATGAATATATATTAATTTTTTTATTTGGTCTTCTAAATTTATGCTCCTTTACATTAAAAGGTTTGTACTTTTTGGTGTGTCTATGGTCCTGCTAATTTTATGCATGTGCCAGTTCGTGTGATGATTTGGGAAGAATTTTTTGTATTTCACACACCAAAACACACACACACAGAATATGGGATCTTGTTAGTCTAAAATTTTGGCAAATCATATCTGGATTCTGATTCTGTTTTCTTTTTGTCAAGTTTAATTGCCCCTATATACATGTTGAATTCTCTAACTGAGTCTTGCTTATCCCCCACCCATATTATTATATACATGTATTATGGTTTTTTTTTTTTTTGACTTTTATGGAGTTTTAAAGGAAGTTTTACTAACTTTTTTATTCAGTGGCTAACATGTTTCACTTTCACCCAATTTGGTTTTCTGATTTTTTTGGTGCTACTATTACGATAATCTGTTACATCTTTGGCAGCTATTGATTTTAGTGGATTTAAATTTTGCAGCACAAACAGTTTTACTGGCTTTTCAACACTATATTGTGATGCTTGGTACTGTAGTTATGATTGCCTCAATACTTGTTCCTCGAATGGGTGGCGATGCTGTGAGTCTTATTCACCATCTCTCTTATGGTTAATTATATTGACTGATTGAATTATATAATCTAGTAGAAATTATATTTCAACTTTGTAATTATGGAATTAAAAGATAGCATCTCTAAGGTCCATTGATTCACTTGAGTAGGGTGATAAGGTCCGTGTGATTCAAGCGCTGCTGTTCATGTCGGGTGTGAATACGCTCCTGCAAACCCTTTTTGGGACAAGACTTCCTACGGTGATGGGTCCATCATTTGCTTATGTGCTATCAGTGTTGTTGATCATCAATGACCTCTCTGGTAGAGACTTCACAAGTGAACACCAGGTATGCAAACTTCTTGTTAAGTATTTGATCATAAACACTGATGACAAGTTTTGGTGATGCTTGATTATCTTTTTCTACTTCAAGCGGTTTGTTCTGTCACAAATTATCCCAAATTTCTTTAAGATGTTAAACCGATAAATGTTTTGTAAGCATAGTTATCTTGTTAATGCCCATAATTCAGAGTTTCAGAATTCAGACCACTGACTATGAGCCTGAGTGGCGTCTCCTGCCACTTCCATAGGTAGGAGTCGGACCAAGTCTTGCTTGGCATGCCGGTTATGTTATACTTGCAAAAGGTCCATAATTCATTACTATTACATGTAAAAATCACTGACACTGTCAATACTTTGCTACTTACATTGGACTTTGTCTATTCTTCTGTATAGTTTATGAATGTTTAACTTATGTTTCATTGGTGAATGCATACTTTCATCCTTCTAAAGTTCGTTCTTTAATTTTAATTTCGTACTCAACTTAATTTTAGAACGTGTTTAGTCTCAACCCCCAACCATGTATTATTGCAACCCCTTTCTAATTGGAGGGATACCTGCTTTTGTATCAGTCACCGATGCGCACTTGTTATTGTTCTGGTACCTTAAGCTCCAATCCAAGTCTTGCTTGCTGATGCGATGAATGGAATTCATTCCATGTGACAAAGTCATCTAATTTGTCTCTCCCCTATATTGTACTCCAATGCGACCTTTCCATCTCAATTTCTCAGCACCTTCATTTTAGGTTATTGCCACTGATCTTCCACTCATGTTTAAGCATTAACACTTTGCATGGACCTATATATACTACCCCCCTTCAAAAAAAAAAAAAAAAAAAAAACCAACACCCACCCACCCACACCCTCCAAGGAATTGTTTGCACCCAAGAGGAGTCGAACCTTAAACTTGATGCTTCCTGAGGCACCATGGCCAAGTGTCTTACCCACTTGAGCGAACCCCTTGGGGTTACTTTGCATGGATAATTGACATGTAATTTTGGTTATTTCATTGTGAACTACCTTGCTTTACATTTTCATTACTTCATTTGGAGTTGCTAATGGTACTTAAGTCAGAGCCTTAAATTATAATTTAATTCCATGTTTTCATCGATGAGTTAGTTTTGTTGTTAACATTCAAGATGGACCTTTCTTGATTGCTCTGATGTGGTGCTTGTAGAGATTCCTCCACACTATAAGAGCCATTCAAGGATCTCTGATCGTGTCTTCCATCATTAATATTGTGCTAGGATATTTTATGATATGGGCGAAGTTCACAAGGTAACAGAGTTTTTACTTCGTTAGCAATTCTACCCACTTGTTTTCGCTAGACCTACAAATAAATTGTGTCTTTTTTGAAACTTAATATCCTAACAAAAAAAATTATGCTAATTTGCTCTTGATTTTTCAAGTTATCACGAATTATTTTTTTATTTGGCAGGCTCTTCAGTCCTGTTGTTATTGTACCAGTGGTTTGTGTGGTTGGTCTTGGTCTGTTTGGAAGGGGCTTTCCCGAGGTATTCTTTTCCTTGATTGATTAAGCGTTAGTGAAACTGAAATTTTATTATGAAAAAACCATTATATAACTCCCATTATTGTCTACAGCTAGCAAATTGTGTGGAGATTGGCCTGCCCATGCTAATATTTCTGGTCATAGTCCAACAGGTGATAAATCTATGTTAAACTGGCATATTCTATTGATGATCTTCTCTAGAGCAAAAACAGAAAATCAGAAATATATATTTTTTTGCTGCAGTATCTGAAGCACATTCACCCACGCACCTATTCCATACTCGAGAGGTTTGGTTTGCTCCTCTGTATTGGGATTGTATGGGCTTTTGCTGCTATTCTCACTGCAGCTGGTGCTTACAATAACGTTCGGGAGCAAACAAAGCAGAGTTGCCGAATAGATAGTTCCTCTCTCATGTCATCTGCTCCATGGTATTCTAATAGAATAGAATTCCTTTTAGTTAGGTTTACCTTTCAGATAATCTACCTTTTTACGAAATGTTACTTGATGTTTCTTTCAATATAGGGTCAAAATTCCATACCCTTTTCAGTGGGGTGCTCCTATATTTAGAGCAAGCCATGTATTTGGGATGATGGGAGCTGCTCTTGTTTCAACGGCAGAGGTTTAGTTGCTACCCTACTTTGACTCGGTGCATAACAGTCTTTTAGTTTTCATTTCGTTGTTTTAATTCAACTTGATGATTTGATAATTTTAACACTGTTCCAAGCATTTGCTTTTCTGAAAAAATTATTTTTTGTAAATGGTGCAGACAATGAAATTTAAACCTGGTTCCCTTTCTTTTTAGGCAGCAAAGAAAAAGTTTTTGTTTGAATTCACTTTCTACTTTAGTCATTTTGTCCATTCGTAGTGCAGTCCACTGGAACATTTTTTGCTGCTTCACGGCTTGCAGGTGCTACAGCCCCTCCTGCATATGTGCTTAGCCGAAGCATTGGTCTGCAGGTTCGTATACTGAATTAGAAGTTATCTGTTTTTTCCCCCTGCTTCCTCATGAACTTTTCCTTGAGATGATAATCATTTAGTTGTCCTTTGTGAGTGCAGGGTGTTAGTCAGCTGCTTGATGGGGTATTTGGTGCCGTTGTTGGAACTACCGCATCAGTGTAAGAAATTGATGCTGCTATCATAATCATATGCATTATAAATCTTTAATCTATGCTGTAGTTAAGCTAGTCAATTTTTAGGAAATGTTTGTCATAACAACGCTCTGAATTACGTGATTATTAAGATTTGGTTAGTGTTTGCTCCATTTTATGTGGTAAATGTTATCAACACCAGGGAAAAGTTAGTAGTTTTTTAGTCATGTGTGCATTTTTCATCTAAAGTAGAATATCTAAATGATGTAGGACAAGAGCGCAGCCTTCAATAGCTAAAAACTTACAGAATTTAGGTTGGAAGTTCAAACAACCAGGGCTGAAATTTGGAGGTTTGATAGTAGAAATGTAGAAAAGTAAAGGAGAAAAGAAATAGAATAAGAGCTACCTATTGGAATCACCCAACAATTCAATGAGGTAATCAATAGTTGACTCTATCATAATAAAGTTACAAAAACTTGACTGATGCAATTTGACCATAATTGATGCAATTTACCATAACTATGCAATTTCATCATAATTGATGTAACTTACCATGCAATTTCACCATAATTTGATGTAATTTACCATAACTATGCAATTTGATCAAACCACCTAATTATGCAAGACTCCAAGTGGACCCCACTTTCATCTAGCAGGTGCCAAATTAAACCTTGAGCCTTAGAGCCCTCCTTGCCACACCTTCTATACACTTTAAAAGGCTGCTGCCGCTGTTCTCTACCAATTCTCCCTGGCTTGGAAAAACTCGACCCCAACGAGGTAGTAAGGAGCTAGGTGTTGGAACTCACTGTCAGTAATCCAAGTACAATAAAAAAGTGGACATCCCCTCCAGTTACTAAGGAATGTTTGATGACCACCTCCTCTTGTTGAAACAAGTTGGTGATCTAACAGTTGACTAACAATTGTATTGAGGAAAAGGTTGTACCCTTCAGTATGGAGATCGACAATCAGCGTTTGAACAATAATCATAGCAGCACCCATCAAGTATTCCAAGGAACCATGATGGACCATATGTTTGGCTTTCGTGGCAGCATCAACCTCTGAGGAAATACATGGAGATTGGTTGATCTCTACAAGCAAATCAATCTTCACGTTAGGAGTAAAAGGATCAGGAAGCTTCATATTGTGTGGAAATGCTCCCAAGATGATGCTTCGAATCTGGATGCAGCCAGAAGGTATAACATCACAGAAGCTGAAACGATAATTGCAAAGGAACTCTGGGAACTCATGAAGTGGCACTAGCAAAACCCTCAGTGTGCCTTTATAAAGAAAATGAACCGGATCTCCAAATTCAGCATTTCTCAGGAATGGTTCCAGAAATTGGAATAAACCTACCAGCAAGCATTGAAAATAAGGCCTTCCCTTCTGGGAGTTTCACGTCAGCAATTTTGGCATGAAACTTCTGGGACTCACTAGCTCAAGCCACGCAAAGCTGAATGCAGGAACTTTAAGGGGCTACAAAGCGTGAAATGCATTTGAAAAAGCAGTCAAAATCTGAAAATTTCCACCATCAAAGACAGGTTCAAGGGAGCCTTGGTCCAGAAGCCAGTTTAGGAACAACCTAAAATATGACCTTGGATTAAAAAAATGCTTTCTTCTCCTCTGCATCTTTTTTAAATAAATTTTACGGTTACTGCCAAAACCTTAGGCAGAAAAAAGAGTTTAATAGATCCATGGTCGACAGAGCAGAACTTGAGGATTGCAAAGACAAGTTTTGCATATATATCGATAGCAAGGAAAGACAATGGCTGTACTTGTTTAGACGATTGCGAAGGATCAAAAAGAATCACCTCAGAAGATAGGCAATGCGATACGGAATGTTCCATGAGGTGGCGGAAAAAAGGGCCTAACATATCATCCCCTTTCAGAAGTCCATTGTGTCGCAATTGCAAGACATAATGGGCACAAACAGCATCATATTCAGGAAGAAGAAGTTCACATATCCAGTGCCACCATGCAAATAACATGGAAACCTTCTCATGGAAACTAGCAGAATCTGGTTCCACTGGTTCTGGGACATTATAGTCTTCCCTACCAGCTGCAGAATAGCCAGCAGTCTTTTTTGTCTCTGGTTGCGTTCTAGTGGTGTTCTCCTTTCCAACAGCTACACAAGCCAATGCAGTAACACTGGCAGAAGGATTCCTTGCAACCTCAACTAGCTGTTGCAATCATTGTTTTTAAAAGGCACGCCTAGGCTCAAGGTGCAGGTGTAGCGCCTGTTGTCATCCCAGGCTCACTGACTTTTACTAGGCGCGCACCTCGGTTGCACCTCGTCCTGCCTCATCGGTTTTCTGTTTTTTTAATGATTATTTTATTTCTTAAGCCAAGAAGGGTACTTTTGGCAACTTAATAAACAAATAAGAAAGCCTAAGTGTACGAGAGAAGGAACTTTTGTTCAAAAGAATAAAGAAATAAGAAGACCCAGAGTCAAAGTGTCAACCGAACAAAAAAAGAGTGAGACTGTGAGACGAACGACAAAGCCCTAGTCGTAGAGACGAACGACATAGCCACATCAGTTCTTTCTGCTTCTTCTCTCTCTTCTCCTCTACTTTTCTCTTCTCTATTCCTCTCTTCTTATCTTTGTTTACATCTCTCTCTTCGTCTAGTTCTCCTCTCTCTCTGTATTTTTGTCTCTGTGCCTTTTTTTTGCCTCTATTTTTTCTTTTCTTTTCTTTTCTTTTCTTGTTAACAATTTTTTATTTTATTTTTTGTAAACAGATTTATTTCTTTTTGTGCTTTGTTTTGCCATTCAAAAAAAAACCAATTGTGTTTTGCCTTTCAAGAAAACAAATTTGTGCTCTGTTTTATGGTTGTTGGATGCTAGTATAGTTGATGGATTTACTTTTTTATATTTGATATTAATTTTTAGAATATTGATATGACTTATGAGATATCAATGTTTTATAGTAGTTTAAATTTTCAATTGTGCGCCTCACTTCACTCAGGCGCGCGCCTCGTCGTGTGCCTAGGCTCCAAAGAACCTCTAGTGCCTTGGTGCGACTTGAGCCTTTAATAACACTGGTTGCAATGAAGTTGGAGAATTAGGCCTAGCTGCAAGATTTTCCTGTGTATCAACAAGATTGTGAAGTTCCAAAATGACGCTGGAACTGTGCTCATGTTGTATTCCATAATGTATAGCAACTCCTGGCGAATAAGACCAAGAATTATAACCGTGTTAAACTTCCTCTCCTAATCTGAATAAATCCCTGGAATATAAGTACGATCAATCCAAACCACTTTGAACAGTTGTGAATATAGTTGGATGGAAAGTTTGAAACGCTTGACCATGGTTGTGGAGACAACACTTGGGCTGCCACCGTCATCAATAATAGGCTTCCAAGCTTGGTTTCCACAGAGAACTTGCATCTGAAAATTAGAGGAGAGCCGCCCATCTTCGTCTTCAACTTTAGGGTCTTTAAGGATTTGCCTCACAACGGAGATGGAGGAGAGATTCACTTCATCCTCTTCCAGATGATCAGTGCTGTGCGTCTCATCGTCAAGCATGTTCTTATTATCCTTGCTGGCCATCGTACACATTCCTTCAAGATCAGCATGTTATAGAAAGATGGTTTGATCCACCATTTGACATCATTGTTGTTGAAGTGTGCTGCGAGTTCCATTACTTAACTTCTTTATAATATCCCCAGTGGCATCATATGGCTTATTATGATTCACCCTCTAACGAATTTCTTGGAAATTCCAACATAGGATGTAGTGGTGGGTCAGCCTTCAAATCACGCCTTTGCTGGGAGTTTAAAGGGTGTTGTTGCTCCCTGTTTCTGCCATCATTAGTACCAAATGCAGATCCTTCTTCAAGGGCTACTGAATTGTTAAACCGCAGAATTCGAGCTCCTATCTCATTGCATTGAACATTCAACCCTTTAAATTGTTCCACAATCTGTGAAGCAACTCAATCTCTTATCTAATCCCTTTTTTTTTTTTTTTAATTAATTTTTTATAAATAAAAGTATATTAGAGAGTGTTCAAAAGGGGAACGCATCCTGAAGGCTATACAATGGCTAGAGTCAAAAAAAGGTCTTAGGGACCTAAAGAACCCAAAAATCCATGATTTCATCTAAAGATATACAATTTCTTCCCATCATGCAACTAAAAAGAGAATAAATAATAGTAAATTTCAGCGCCCCAATGGAAGATTCCTCCCCATCAAAAGATCTTCTATTTCGCTCATTCTAAATACGCCACCAAAAGCAAAGGGGAGACACCCTCCAAAAATCCCGGATGTGGGCCCCTGCATTGAAGCTTCTCCAACCGTTAATCAAATCCCTCGAGGACCGAGGCATAACCCACTAAATGCCGAAAAAACCAAAAAAAAGACTTCAGCAGGCATGAGCCACCGGATAATGCAAAAGAAGGTGATTCACGGACTCTCCATCATTCTTACACAGACAACACCAATTGACTGTGACCTGTCTTCTCTTTCTTAGATTGTCCAAAGTCAAAATCTTGCCCTAAACTGCAGTCCAAACAAAAAAAGGCAACTACGAGAGGAGCGTTCGAATGCCAAACCGTTTTCCCCAGAAAATTGGAACCATGAAACCCGGAAAGGCAGAGAAACAAGGAGCGGACCTCAAATATCCCCTGAGAAGAATTCACCCAAACCAAGGAATCAGAGCCTCTACCATCCATCTCCTGTCTATACAAAAGATCCAGCATGCCAGAAACATTGTCTAGTTCCCAATCCTGAAAAGAGCGTAAAAAATGTACTCCCACGTAAGCCCTACGCTTTCAAGTTGATAACATTCTGCTACCATAGCATGTCTATCAACAGCTATCCTGAGAAGTCTTGGGAACAAACAAGACAACGGGCGATCACCACACCAAAAATCCTCTTAGAATCTGTGATTTCCTTGCCCTCCCGAACTCTGAATCTAATATGCTTAGAGAACTCATCCCAACCTTTTCGAATGCATTTCCACACTCCTTTGCCAACAACAGATGTAACTGCCCAGAAGACCATCCCCCTCCCTTCTCCCCAAAGCGGCACGAAGTAACCTTCCTCAACCTATAGTCCACACATTTGCTGGCGGCAATAAGAGTGGAATCCAGAATTTGCCTGCCCAATAAAGGCATTTTGAGACTCTGAGATAACTCCATCAAGAACCTCCCTCAATCTTTAAAGCAAGACTTTAGCAATAAGTTTATAAATACATCCCACTTATTGGTCTAAAGTCCTCAACATCAGAGTATTAGACACGCCAGCCTACTTAGGAATGAGGGCAATGAAAGATGCATTCAATTACTTTTCAAACCTCTCATTAGCATGAACCTCCCATTATCCAATCTTTTGTTTTTTTTATCGTGTAAACATAATTTCTACCTAGGCTTTGCTGCCAAAAACTGATGTAGGACAAGAGCGCAGCCTTAAATAGATAAAAACTTACATAATTCAAAGGTTGGAAGTTCAAATAACCTGGGCTGAAATTTGGAGGTTTGATAGTAGAAATGTAGAAAAATAAAAGGAGAAAAGAAATAGAATAGGAGCTGCCTATTGGAATCACACCAACAGGGTCTAGGCGTCACACATGGAGAAGGCCTCACACCCTCATATCTTGTGAATCACTCACCAAGAAATTTCACAACACTTTTTTTATTCATTCATTCACCGAGTCATAAAGTTTACATACTATCCTTTTTATAACAACTTATGACCCTTGGATTACCATAATTGAGGTAATCAATGGTTGACTCTAGCATAATAAAGTAACAAACACTTGACTGATGCAATTTGACCATAATTGATGCAATTTACCATAACTATCCAATTTCATCATAATTGATGTAATTTACCATAACTATACAATTTGACCAAACCTCCTAATTATTCAAGACTCCAAGTGGACCCCACTTCATTTAGCATGTGCCAAATTAAACCGCGAGCCTTAGCGCCCTCCTTGCCACGCCTTCTATACACTTTAAAAGTTTGTTGTTCTCTACCACTAAATCAACTACATGCTAATTCCCATTGCAACTCTCTGCATGCTTGTGGGGCCTTTTTGGTACTTACGAAACAAATTTAGATCTAAGAGTTGAGCTCAACTATCTGGTCCACACATATGGTTTAGATGCTACACCAAACCAAACCGGCTTAGTTAGGTTCTTGAAATCCCAGCCTAGACTGAAACATAGATTTGAAGAATCAAACCAAACCAAATGCAGAAAAATGCTGGTCTAGTCAAATGAATTTGCGGTTAACAAGCTTATCGATTAAAATTTCAGTGGATCAAAACTTGGGCTAATATTGTTACGACAAACGCCATGAACTAAAAATGCAATCAAGAAACATGACAGAAGGTAAACACACCACACAAAGAACATAAAAATTTATGTGGTTCGGCGTAAAGCCTACGTCCACAGTGAAGATATCCGACAAAAGATTTCACTCTACGAAAATAGGAAATCAAAATTTCAGCCCCCAAATCCCCAGGGGTGGAGCCTGAATTTCATTTCAAGGGGGCTCTATGTATTTGATGGGAAAAAAAAATATCCACAAATATATGTATATATATGTATATATAATAAAGAGAAAAAAAATCCAGGGGACACGTGCCCCCTGGGCTTAGTCTCCGACTCTCCGCCTTTGAAACCCCACCCCATCTCTCTCTTTAAACTGTGGCTTCCAGTGTTCTCTCATCACACACTACAAACTCTAAACGCCCTTATATACTGGGTTATGTGAGTGTCCTAAAACCGGGTCCACCACCCCCAAGAGAGCAAATTGGTCAAAAAAAAATTTCCCTCATTTTTTTTGCAGATCAAAATGGGTCCAAAACAAAATTCAGGGCGCAAATACATTAGTCCTCTGATGTCAAATTCACTACTGGAGGCTTATGTCATGCATGAAGTGCTACATTTCATTACAAAAGTGGAATAGGATGAAGTTTCCACTTTGTTATTTAATTATTATATTTATAAAGGCTAGAAGTTGAGTGCATCATTCATAATTACACTTGATTGTGGAGATTTGTTTTCTCTGGTATATATATTATCTTTATTCCAAAACATCTTGCATAAACCAGCCATGTATTATGAAATACAAAAGGCACACAAATAAGAGGGTGGGTTTGAGGAAACTGATTGGCCACCATTCACCAATAACTAAACCATCCTAATTTTTGAACCGAAGCCTAACCGACCTCACCGGAGAACCAAACCAAACCATGGATGCCAGGTTCAGTTCCAATCAGCTCGCTTCAGTTGTGCACCCTTCCCTTGAGCCTCATTACATCGAGCCCACTAAGGGAACTTATGTTTTATTATGTATTTATTTTGTCCAATTTACTTCTGATGCTTAAATCAGAAGTCCTGCTGGACCGTCCCCTGGTAGCTCCAAGACCCATCATCTAAACAGTAGAAAGGATGGGAAGGATAAAGTGGTAGTAGTTTTTGGTAACCCTTGATAGTTAGCTTAGAATCTGCTGTGTGTGTGTGTGTGTGTGTGTAGCTTTTAATGATATATCTGAATGATAATGCAGTGAAAATGTTGGCCTGCTTGGACTAACTCATGTTGGCAGCAGAAGGGTGGTGCAAGTATCGACTGGTTTCATGATTATCTTCTCGATATTCGGTTTGTTTTTTTTTTATATCTTCATCATAATTGTATTCAAGGCCGCTTTGCGTTTATGATTGAATTATGTTTAAGAATGTCTTTCAGGAAAGTTTGGTGCCTTCTTCGCATCAATACCTTTGCCAATATTTGCTGCCATATACTGTGTCTTGTATGGTATTGTTGGTAAGTACTCCTGGTGCATTGCTGCTAGCTTGTAAGCTTCTTTCTTTTCTTGTCTTCTTATTTGAAGTTATGCACATTTATTTTTCCACAGCTGCTACTGGGATTACGTTCATTCAATTTGCAAACAAAAATTCAATGCGGAACATCTACGTACTGGGTCTCTCTCTGTTCCTTGCTATATCAATACCACAATATTTTGTCATGAACACTGATGCAGCCGGTCATGGACCTGTTAAAGCTGACGGTGGCTGGGTAAGCAGATATCATTGTTGCTTTTTTTATATGATTCGGTTTCTTCATGTTGTTTGTCAATGGTGATATTATTAATATGAAGCAGAGATAGATGTGAGTAGCTATAAGTTTTTAAGGACATTAAATAAAGGATGCACCACATGGGCAATGGCATATAAAATGCTATCAGCAACTGTATATAGAAAGTAATTTTTGGGACCTCTGTCTTGATCACTTTTTACCAATTTTACTCACTCTTATGTTTGTGTTTCACGGTCATCATATAAAAAATCTCTCTTAACTTCGATGACACACTAGTAGAATTTTTCCATTTTCATTATATCTTATTTTGATAGTTTACTAACAATGATTTATTCTTAACTACTGATTGAATGTCCATGTATGTCTTCCTTTTTTTTTCATCTTTTCTGTTCTGTTTTCTTCATTTCGGTTTCTTCCCATTTCCTTAATGATCTGGACTATTGAATGAATTATTAGGTTACCAATTTTACTATTACTTAGTGTTCGTGTTTGATGGTCATCATATAAAAAATCTCTCTCAACTTCGATGACACACTAGTAGAATTTTTCCATTTTCATTTTATCTTATTTTGAGAGTTTACTAAAAATGATTTATTCTTAACTACTGCTTGAATGTCCATGTATGTCTTCCGTTTTTTTTCGTCTTTTCTTTTCTGTTTTCTTCATTTTGGTTTCTTCCCATTTCCTTAATGTTCTGGACTACTGAATGAATTATTAATTTATGCCCCAAAAATTCTTACGAAGTACTAACAATGATATATTCTTCTTAACTAGTGCCTGACAATTTCCCAGGTGGGGTGGTCTATTGAATTACTTGTTAAGTTGTGCCCTTAACCTACGAATTGGATTTTGAATTGAGACAATTATTTTGGGACAACCAAAATTGGAAAGGCCGACATTTTTTGTGGGATGGAGGGAGTAGTACTTGTTAAGTTGTGCCCTTAACCCACCCAAACCAACCAAGAACCAACTCACAAATGGTTACAAAATGTTCTGATGTGGTTGCGTCTTTTGTTTTTGGTTGCAGTTCAATGATATTCTGAATACAATCTTCTCTTCACCTCCTGCCGTGGCGATGATTGTGGCGACACTGCTAGATAACACGCTTGACGCGAAGCACTCAGCCGAAGACCGAGGTCTTCCATGGTGGGTTCCCTTCCAGACCAGGATGGGTGAGAGCAGAAATCAGGAGTTCTACAGCTTCCCACGTAAGTTACATGAGTTGGTCCCCAGTAGATTTCTCTAGACACACCTCATGGTCTCTATCGTCCTTTGTACATTACTCTGCGGTATAAATTTGATGCTTATAGTGTGAGAAAAGTTCCATTTCCATCCAATTTTCTCATCTTGTGTGTAGATCATAGACAAAATTTGTACAGTCTATGTAGTATGAATTTGTTTTGGCTCTATCGAGAATTGGCATTTAGCCTTCACTTGGGGGTTAAAATCTGAAGTAACATGAATTATTAATAAATTAGATAGGAGCAAATTGTTACTTCTCCTAAATACATTTGTTTATTTGGGACCTCACAAATTGTTACTTGTGAAACATTTTTAAAATCAAGCAATGCTATAATTGTTGATATTGCTATGACTTGTGCTCCGTTCGGTAGAAAAGTCAAAATTTGGATGGAATGGAGAGAAGAGGAGATGGATGGATATCTTAGGGAAAAGATTGTGATTTTCTTTCTTTTTATTCGATTGGATAGAAGAGAAGAGAATAAGTTCACAATTTATTATGTTACGAAGGAGAGATAAAGTTTTGAATTGTTTTTATCATGTACAGTAATATCTAAAAATATTGTAATTTATAGAGGATAGTAATGTAATTTAAAATTTGTGTAATTTAGGATAGTATTTATTTTAAAACATCTATAATAGTATTTATTTAGTCTATTATCTCCACGAACAAAGGAAGTTTGTTCTTTCCATACATCTCTCTTCTTTCCTACCAAACAAAGCATTAGAGAGGAGAGGGTGTGGCTACCTCACACTGTGATTAAATGAAAAGGCCACTAATAAGTGGTTGCTCTCTGTTTTTTTTTTTTTTTTTTTTTTTTTTCTCGTTTTTTTCCTTTTCGAATAATTGACTAGTGGGAATAGGAGGTCGAAAGAAGAAGATCAAACAACAAATTGTATAGTTATAGAGAGGTTTATATGTAAAATTATGGGCAATCTCTTTCTTGTCGCAGAACTGTATATATATTTGTGATGTATATATATTTCTAATTTCTTTTCGAGACAGATGTATTATAACTCCAACTAAATTATTACAATGCCACAAGAATAGTTTTGATTAAATGTTTTAGGTCAGAGACAATTTTATGTGGAAAATTAGGAATAGTTTTTATTAAATGTTTTAGGTCAGAGACAATTTTAGGTCAGTTTTTTTAGAAATAGTTTTTATTTCAAATAACAAGAGACACAACATTTTGGCAGTATGATGTGGAAAATAGTTTTGATTAATTGCTTTAGGTCAGAGACAATTTTATGTGGAAAATCAGGAATGGTTTTGGCAAAATGTTATAGGTCAGAGACAATTTTAGATCAAGAGTTTTTTAAGAAATAGTTTTTATTTCAAATAACAAGAGACACAAAACATTTTGGCAGTATTTTGAAAACTGTTTTCAAGAAAATAAACTAAAATAAAGACTAATTTTGAATAACATAATTTTGATCTCAAATCCTAGAAATAGTACATAAATAGACTTGTAGCTTCAAAAGTTTATTTTTTTTTGAATACTTTAAAAGTTTGGTTAGCAAGAAAATATCTTTTCATAACCACTAATTTTCTCATACTATTTTTCTACAAAAAATAGAGGATTTGGATTTCTTGTTGAATATTATATGTATTCATATTATTAATTGAAATTTGTAAGAAATCGAAGTAAACTAAAAAAAAAAAAAAAAAAAGGGTAAAAACTTAAAATCACTTATAGTCTTCTGCCACAAGTGTTAGGCGTGATAATTAATATTTTAAGTGATAGCTTAATGGTTATCAAATATTGACTTTTAAAAATAGAAATAACCCTATCAAACACAATCAGTATGAATGCTCTCTTAACTTTCCGTAACAAGAAATGAAAGCTACTAATTATAGTAATTTATTATTAGGTATAAGTGAGTAATGCCTCTAAATTGTAATATGGGGTCCACACGTTTGGATTCCCGCGTTGCATATATGTAAACATCACTAGAATAAGATTGGTTTGGACTTTAATACTACTATATGTTTATTTAAAATGAAAACAAAGGAAAGGTACCAAACTCTTAAGAATCTTTGTTTGATCTCTTTGACAGTCTCTTTAAACGAATAATTAAGCTTGTAGCATGCACATGCAAGTCAATTACGCGTAAAGGATGTCACTGACATTGCAAGTATCACTCGTACAAAATATGAATGATTTGAACCACACGTGTGGCTCTTGAGGCTAGGTCAACATCCTCTTAACTTGCAAAAATAAATAAATAAATAAATAAATATATATATATATATATATATATATATATAACCATATTTTGTGCATAATACTTATTAAATTATCACATTTTATTGTAAAATTCTTTAATGTCTATATTATATTTTATTAAATGATCATAATGTCCCTTCTTAATCTATTTTTCTTATTTAAATAAATTATGAAAAAAATTCATAAAAATATGATGACATATTTTCTATTAAATTTACCCTTAATTTTTGAAATTAATGTTTAAATAAAAATTTTTAGTAGAATTTTTTTAAAAAAAAATTAATTAATTTTTTTTATTTTTAATCAATATGTTACATGAAAAGAAGGCATTTTTTTTTTATTTTTTTATTTATGTGGTTTATTAATTGTTCATCAATATATTGTATGAAAAATAAGATATTTTTCTGAGGTAAAAAATTTTAAACTGGTTTATAATAAGTTTTATTATAAATAATAAAATTTTAATAATAAGTTAATTATTTTAGAAAATCATAGTTACAAATTTATTTATCTTTTTTTTTTTCATTTTTATGGTAAATTAATAATAATAATAAAATTAAGGTAAATAGTATGATTAATATTTAAATAAGAGAAAAGATAATAAAAATAATTTATTAAGAAATGAAAATTTGAATGAGAAAGGATAAAATAGTTTTTTTGTGATGAATTTGACCTTATTTGCAAAAAAATAATATTAAGGAGTTAATTTAAGGGATTATTTGTAAAATAACAATAGTTCTTGTTTACATTTTACCCTATTTTATATTTTAATTTTTTACTCATAAAACGACTGTGTTAAAACACGAAAGTAACTTGTAAAACTGAAAATAATGATGTTTAAAATATAGTTCAATACAATTAAAAGTTAAAACATGTGGTGGGTTGAATTTTTTTATTTTACGCGCTTGGGACTACCCACGTGCTTAACTAATGTTCGAAAATCTTGGTAAGCTCGGTCATTTTGGCTTTTCAAGAGAAGCAAACTAGACTTTTTCTTCGTTTTTTTCCTTCACTATCTTCTTCCCACTTCTTTAGACCAAGCTCTGTAAATAATTGAGTTGCTCCAAATAAGATCATTGCTTATGACCCTAATAAGAATCATCCTATTGAATTTACCTGCCTATCTCAGATTAGACTTTTTTTTTTTTCCTTCCCAAAAGTTCAAACAAATAAACACGTGCACACATACCATATTGTCTCGAGAGAAGAGATCATATTATCTGAACGACATAATGCTGAGTTCAACAACAACAACAACAACAACAGTAGGTATTTACTCTTTAAGCCAGTCCAAATTTACTACAAATTATATACAATGAATAGCACAGGAAGAAAAATATATCAAAGGAAAGGACAAAGTTTTAAGACCTTATTTACTCTTTCAGCCAGTCCAAATTAAAGCATTCCTTTGCAACCTTAACATACAGATGAGGTAGAGCCTTCTCCATATCTTTCCACAGCCAAGAAATCTCTTCATCGCAAATAACACGACTCAAGGACCGCAATGACGCCAGAGACTTGGGCAGGTTTCTCATCTGTGGACACTCTCTCATGTCGATCTTCTCCAAGTCAATCAATTCGCCTATCCGGTCAGGAAGGCATTCTAGATGAAGACACTGGGAAATGTCGAGGTACTTCAAATGGACCAGGTCACAAATGCCGGGAGGAAGCTTTCTCAGTTCCAGGCAAGCATATATCCTTAAAATCTGTAGAGATTTCAGTTTACCCAAATCAACGGGCAGTTGTTTGAGACTCTGGCAGTTGGTGACACTTAGGCTCTTGATTGAGGACATCTCGCAAATGCTTGGAGGCAGCTCGATCAGATCGATGCAGTGATCCATTGTGAGTTCCGTGAGCCGAGGGAATAGGTGTGGCATATCTGTTTGATGAAGGCTGCCGTTAATCTTGCAGAGAACTAAAGAGATTTTGCGCAAGTTCTTGAGGGGTATTGTAGTTTCTGGTAAGTGGGGAACAGTGATTTTTTGAAACCACACGCTTCTCAAGTTGGACAGATTGGAAAAAACCGACACGTTGTGAAGTACAGCATTTGAGTTGCTGTAATTGATGAGAATTAATGCCCTAAGCTTGGGCATGTTATCTATAAATGGTGGAAGGAAATATTCACTCGAGGAAAAATTGAGGATAAGAACTTCAGCCTTTGGGAAGTCCATGCTTACCCAGTCCATTTCTCTCATTTCACCTGTATTGTGAAGTTAGCAAATGTGAGCTTATATAGTAAAAAGCTAGACCTAATAGCAAGAACTTAACATGCAGGTTGATTTGGTTTCTTTTACTGTATTTCAAAGAAAGTAACAATCTGGTAATACCATGATGTTAATACCTGTATGGACCGAAACAATTTGGGCATTGAATGGTTGATCCACATTCTCCCATTCTTTTGGGAGCTCCGATTCCCTCCTTGCCATAAGCAATCTCTTTCTTTGATTTATGTTCCCGCTATTGCTCAAGTAAATAGCTAGATCTCTCAGCACATCGTGCTGAGATACAGAAATCTCATAGTAACTGCTATACATATCTCCAGCACTGCCAAATTGACAAACCAAGGGTTTTTAGGAATGCAGATTTTTGATAAAATCAACAACAACAACAACAACAACAAAAAAAATAAAAATAAAAAATAAATAAATAATATGACTAAACGATTACTCAAGAACTACATATAGATTTTCAATCTACATACCGTTCATCTTTCACTAGGGTGAGGAGATTCTTATTAGAAAGTTCAACAAGAATCGCAAATGCTTCTTCCTCCTTGATACCATGCAACTCCACCCACATATTAATAAGAACATCAAGGGGAATTTTTGTATCTTCTGGGAAGGAACCCAAGTCTAAGAAACACTCCCTGAACTTCCCAGGTAAGTGATCTACACTTAATTTCATCCGTTCGAGAAGCTGTATCTCATGGGATTCGCATATTGACCGGCCAATCGAAAGTCTGTACTTGGCACTTGTCCAAATCAGTTCAGGCTGATCTCTTAATGAAGCTCCAATAACTTTTAGAGCCAACGGAAGCCCTTTACACTCATCAACAACCTATTGAAAGCAATTCTGGTCAGCATTAGAAATAGTTAAAGAGAGAGTGAGAATGTTCGTGTATGAATGATTACATTATTACCTGCTTGACTAATTTCTCATTAGTACCAAAAGGAAGGGACTTCTGTCCAAATGCAAAGTGGCAGAACAAGGACATGGCTTCCTCCTCCTTTAACAATTCCAAATCATAGGTGGAGTTGATAACTGCCGGAGGGAATTTAAATCGGGAAACTACAAGGGTTTTGCATCCGGGGACACTAAAAATGAGCTGTTGAAGCACCCCGAGTGACCAAACATCGTCCAAAACCACCAGTGTTCGCACAACAGTCCTAAAATTATATTGCAGGTTCCATTGTGGCAACACCATATCACTAGATTCAGCAAAATGGCATCCCGATATCACTCCCCAAATCTTTAACCTCAATTGCTCCACATTTGGAGACTGCGACACCGTGAAAAAGAAAACTCTGTCGTTGAAATGACCTAAGTAATCACAATAAACATGGTCTATCAGAACTCTTACGGTAACAATATGAGCTTGAATATAGAGAACCAGAACCTAATTTTAGCTTAATTAATACATCCCTTCATCAATCATCATTGTAACGTTGTATCATCATGAGTAAACTTCATCAACTATTCTAATTGATCATATGACACCACACATCTTGAAGCTAGTAAAAAGAACTACCCTAAAATTTAAAAATTATGAGGTTTAAAATTTTCAATAGACTAGGCTGAGTTCTCATTTTCATTTTTGAGTAATACATCAACTTGAAAAATAATTCTCAATATACATTTTCTTCAATTTTCCTCCATTTTCTCAGCAACCAAACAGAGAGATAAGTAAATAAAGTACTTATGACAAACACATACATACATATATGCATATACATATACTTCATACGTATTTTTTTAAAAATTTTCACTTGACTGAGCTGAGTTCTAATTCTTATGTTTGAGTAACACAACAACATAGAACAACAATTCACAATTTACATTTTCTTAGCAACCAAACAGAAGAGGGAAGTAAAGAAAGTTGTTTGACAAGCACAAATATGCATATACATATACTACATAAGTATATGGGTTTAAAATTTTCACTTGACTGAGTTGAATTCTAATTCTCATGTTTGAGTAACACAACAACATAGAACACAACAATTCACAATTTACATTTTCTCAGCAACCAAACAGAGAGGAAAGGAAAGAAAGTTGTTTGTCAAACCATGTATAGATAGCCATATACACATATATACATATACATAGGGTAAATTAGTATATGGGTTTTTGACTTACTTTTAATTTCATCATCTCTGCTTATTTCTCTAGCCAGAGTAGTCTTTCCACTGCCACCAATCCCACAAATCCCAACCACAACTAAATCCTCCCTCCCAATCACCATTTCCTTCACCTTCCTCTTCCCCAATTCCATCCCCACCCCCAAATTTACCAAACTACCCTCGTACCTCTGCTCCTCCTCCACCCTCTTCAACGCCTCCCCCAACAACCCACCCTCGCCGACGCCGATCTTCATGGCGCCGAGCCGCTGCTCCAGCCGCCGCGTCGAGCCCTCGAGCCGATCGAACCTCTCCGCCGACTCGAACCTCATGTGGTGCACGTCGGCGAGCACGTGCGCCTGCATCGTGCCGTTGACGAACGTGTTGATCCGCTTCTGAAACTTATCCATCTTCCTGGCCAGCTGCAGGTTCTTGTAGACGTTCCAGCGGCCGCAGGAGCGGACTTTTAAGGCGAGCTCCGAGCCGTCTCGAAGCGTATCGGAGAAAGTGTCGAGCTGGCGCTGGCGGTTGGCGGGAACTTCGACGCCGGAGTACTTGATCTCTTGGATTATGGGGAGGAGTTCGTTGATGGTGGAGGTGAGCTGATCGGCGGTGGTCTTGCAGAGGGCGGATTTTCTGGTTATGCTTATGAGCTGCTTGAGGAGCTCGGTGGCGATTTCGCCGACGAAGAAGTCGGTCACCGCCATTTGCTGTGGCTGAGAGCCTGAGACGCCGGAGCAGAGTGGCGGTGAAATTGAATTTTGCTCCTTCCCTTTTTATAAAATGGTATGTACACAGTACTAACGAACAGATGATTCATTAAGGTTCGTTTGGTTAAGTAGCAAATTTTCTCTAAAACTAAAACACGCGAAAAATTTTGTTTCTCGAAAAAATTATGAAATTATATTTTAAAATCTTATTATACCCCTAATTATTAATTGGGTTGCCTTTATCTCCTTTTTTGGGAGACAATTTTTTTTTTTTCTTTTTTTTTTTTTTTCAAATAGGTATATTACAGTGGATATTTTTTTAAGTGCATTATATTAATTTACAATATGTATGTATACATATCAACTAGATTTTAGAATTTGGATACTAAAGTTATTATAAGTTTTAGAAAATATATACGTTTATTAAAAAAAAAATACAAAATATTCTGTAGTTATATAATTTTAGTTGAATTCAAAAAGAAAACTCTCATAAACTTGGTTGTTATATGTAAAATTCTATTGGTTATTGGTTATTCTAATATAAACAAACATATAGTGGAACAATTATAATCTTATTCGATTTCATCAAAGTCCTTACAATTACTATATAAATTATAATGTCTAAATCATATATATATATATATATATATATATATATATATTTGACTAAAGTAATTCAGGTGACTTGGTATCTCATACAAGTTCAGAATATTATTATCAACAACAAAATTTGATGCATGAATTAATTTTATTCAAATTTATTTATATTTTTAGTATTTAAAATTATAAGGACAATTTTGAAGTACAATATAATATTTTCTCATAACTTTCTTGAAAAATTTTCACGCTAACCAAATGCACCAGGAAACTTAATTTTTTTTTCATTCATTTCACTTTCTTTCGCTTTCACTTTCCATCATCTATTTCCGTCTAACCAAACGAACCCTAAATAAAAAATAAATGAATAAATAAATTTAGCAGTTCCCAAGTGACGTCACACATTGCTTTGGGAGAAGAAGTTGATCCAGAAAAAGGGATACTTAAAAGGTGAATAATATGTTAAATATGACTTGGATATTATTATTACTAGAACACAGTCAGAATAAATTTTCGACAACATCTGATTTTTAAATTATTTTTAAATTCAATATAATTTTAAATATATTATGTGTTAATTAAAAAATAATATAAATTTTTTTAAAAAATAAAAATAACAAGCATCTAAATCTAAATTTTTAATTAGTGATTTATTTATAATTATATGGATAAAATAGTAAAAAAAATATATACTCCATTTTTCTTAAAATACATGTCCTCCTTGAGGAATCCAACTTTTTATAATAGTAGAATTTTAATAATTTTTTATTGTATTCATAAGAGTGAAGTTTCAAATATGCTCTTATTAAAAGACAAAATAATGTTATGTAATTAATGTACTTATTTAGTTAAAATGATAGTTTGAAAATGTTGTAAAAAATAGTACATCCAATTTTGAAATGAAACATGTTAGAAAGATTGACAACTATTTTGAGATATATATATATATATATATATATATATATATATATATATATATATTAAATTAAATTTTTGTCATGCAATACCTGTATCATATATATTTTTAGATTTATTATATCATCGTATTCATATCGTATCATACCTGTATTTTTTATCCGTATCGGTGCTTCATAGTTGTTGTTCAATTATTGAATGATTCCACACACTTGTTTTTGTGTCAATTTTGTTGTTTGATGAAACTAAAAATTGACTACTGAAATTTTGAAAGAGCTGAATTTTAAATACTGAAGTTTTTAAGTTAATTTTTTTTTTTAATTTTCAGAGTTTAACATTTAAGTGATAAGTGATCTCCCTATCACTTAAAATTTTACCCTATTTTAAGTAATGCTTACCATTTTAAGTGATACTTAATTGAATATTAATCCATTTAGAATTATGTAATAAATTTTTTTGTACGTATCTTTTAATTATATAAATGCTTTTAAAAACATTGTGAGTACCCAAAAAAAAAATTTGTAGGAGCAATATTTACACGTCAATATAAAAGAAATAAAAATACAAATGTGCAAAGCTAATAATATTTAGATGGCTTGTGGAATCCCATCAACTAAATTATTATTTTTCCTTAGTTCATCAACTATTGATATATAAACTAAACAAAAATCAAACTGATGGTGACCGTTATGTGATTTATTTTCCCATTATAGGCCAAGTTCACATGCAAACACAATCTAATAGCACACGCTATGTTTTAGCTAAATCAAATCATCTTCAGCCTGGCTTTTTTGACACACACACACACATATATATAGTTTCTAATTAAAATCATTTAGTGGTCTCTCTTCAATCTCGCAATATGAAAGGTAGAATATACAAATATATATATAAAAGAAAACCCAATACTCTGTGTGTGTGTGTGTGTGTGTGTGTGTGAAAAGATGGTGAACCAGTCAAAGAAAAGGAGAGATGGTTGGATTCATTGAATTGAATCAAATAGAATTTGAGTGGGGCTGCACAAATGAAGTTCGGTGCTAAGATGGACCCCACAAAGACTTGAAAGTCCTATGCGTGAGATATTTGATGGTGATGAGAGATAATTGAGTATAATCTAAGTCGGTCTTCTCCTTTTAGAAGCAGCCCGTAGACTGGCTAAATGACCGTCATACCCTCGATACGTTGCTGAAATTCACAACAATCACATGCCTGAATTGGAATGAAGAGCAAATTCTCATACGTCACAGCAAGACATTCAGTATATAATAATGAGAGTAAAGTACTAGTGCAAATTAATAGTACTTTTTTTAGAGTTCAATTTTTATTTATATATAGTTTTCAAATTGAGTAAATAGGGATAATTCTTTAATTTGAAAATTAAAATTTCTAAAATATTTTTAAATTATTGGGATTTTTTTTAAAAAAAAAGTTTGAAATTTAAAAAAAAAAAATTGAAGACTGAAATAGTTAAAACGACTCTAAGATTATTTTGGGGTTTTTATAAAAAAAATTATTTAAAATTGACAATTAGTGGGCAATTTGCTATAAATTTTTAAATTATAAAGATTTATATGTACATACTAAATAGCAAGAGTATTTTTTTGTACATTTTCTATATAGTATGGTTGTTTTTTTCACTTTACCTGAATAATAATAATAATAATAATAATAAAACCACTAGGGACATTTATAAAAGATTTACATGATATCATCTCATTTATTGGCGCAATGCTTAGTCGTCTTAATTTTTCATTTTCTTAATTTTAGACTTCCATAAATCAAAGGAATTTGAATAAGAGCTACATCATTCGCCAGATGCTTCCTTGAAAGCTTGGCGATGGCATTAGTGACTTCATTGCCTTGTCGAAGGATATGGCTAATCTCGACTGAGGAAAGGCTAAGGATCACGTATTGATTTGATATAAAAAATAATGGAACGCTTCTCGATCGACCCCTGAATCATTGCTTGCAATAACCGCGCAAACAGATAAGGAATCATTATAACGACCCAAATTTGCTGGATCCGAATCGCTAATCGGGTCCTTATCCGAACCCGAGGTCATGCAAGGGTACTATGGTCATTTTTCATTAAATTAATACTTTAAGGCCCAATAAGGGCAAAATTGTGACGGCCCTAGTTTTTAAGTCAGTACGTCCTGTGATAAACCGAACGTAGATCCGATAACGAATCCAGAATGCGGAAGCAAAAGATGAAATGATGGTCTTTAGAGATACAACACGTCTTAAAGACACCAATGTGACCCGCAATGAGGTCACGAAACTCAAAGAAAACAAATGCGGAAACGGCGTTTCAAAAACGGACAAGAATGAATGTAGGGGCAAAATGGTCATTTCTAATATAAAAGTGGGTGCCACCGTGCACACATTGGAACGATAATGAAAAATCAATGAACTTAGACTCAAGAATCACTTGATTCGGAGTCCGGACGAAGAAGATATGACTAACGGAAGAAATAGGGGTAAAAAGGTCAAAAGGAGCCAACCCATGAACATCTAACCAGTTAGGAGGCAAAAACATAAGTCACGCATTTTGCCCCAAGTCATCTAACCGGTTACGAGGAGGTTACTACTCGCACACTTGTACTACAACTCGGCAAAAACCTGGCAGCAGGGGTTTTTGGGTAAAAAATGGGTTTTCGGGGGCCAAGATGACATTTTTTGGAAAAACACAAAGAAGAAACCCCTCTCAAAATTGAGTTTTCTACATGACATAATGGGAGAAAATGAAAACAACTCACTGTGAAATGCCCAAAATTCCCCTCCATGAAATCAGGTCATGAGGGTCCAAAAGCTGCTAAAATGAAAACAGAAAGTTGAACTTTGTAATGAATTTCCGGTACCAAGATGACATTTTCTGGAAAAACACGAAGAAAAAACCCTCCCTAAAATCACGTTTTCTAAGTGACCATGTCGAGACCGGAATTTATTTCCTAAAGAAAAATCCCAGAATGCCCTTAGACCAGATTATGCAATAAAGATGCAAAGTGAGTCCATAAGAGGCTCATTTCACTAAAGAAGAAGTTTTTCATGAAAACGATCATGCACGCGAACGTAACTTACCTAATAGGATGTGCTACAATGGTCCATGGCTTAAAAATATCGCTGATGCAAAATATGACCCCCCAATGGCCAAAATGACAAAAATGAAGCTTGAAATGAAAACTTGGAACTCAAAATTATAAAATGGTTTCGAAATACTGTTTGGCCCTTGCCCACACTTCATACAAGATAAATGAATGCTAATGGATGAATTTCATACACAATGCACGCTCTGGTACAAGATAACATACTAAAACGCATGATTTTTCATATATTCTCATTAAAGGCAAAATTTAACATCTATGACATATATGTAATTCCAAAAGAAGTTTGGCTCTTGGCCTTATGTCATATACATAAAATGAGCATAAAAAAAGTGTGCTTAAGCACACATTATAAGTTTAGAATCAAATATACACATTTGACAAATAAGGCTACAAATGGCATTTCTAGCCAACCCTTACAAGAATGGAAATCTTTAAGTCCACTAATCATCCAAGCATAATGAAAATCTTTAACCTTGATTCCTATACCTAA